GAGCCTGATGCCCCAAAAGAAGAAGGCCGACAGCCTGAAGCTATCCCGAGCAGTCCGATTGCCCCCGCACAGAAGCGAGCAAGATCAGTTGACACGGGACAGGCCACGCAACAGCAACCGGGTCCCCCTATTAAGCTGCCTAAATCACGGAGCGTAGAGAACTTGGTGGCCAGTGTGGTACAGTCGCCACCCCCTGCCCATACAGGAAGTTTCGAGGATGAGGTTGACTTTGGAGGGTCGGAACCATCGAGCCCGCACCCAACTGAGCGGGAAGAAGAAAAGAGCAGAAACTCCACACCCACGGCCCAGTCGTGTCCAGGATCGACTGATAGGCGAGCTACCGCTGAAACACCAAAACCTGTGGCCCACAAAGGTGTCATCCTGGTTAGTGAAGCCTTTACGGAAATCAATGCTGGACTAGTCATAGTGTTGGCATCTGGACATCGCGCCCCAATTCAGGAGTCTGAGCTGGTAGACCCAGAGCGTGACCCAGATGAGCTAGCAGCTATCGCCAGCACGGCCTACCTTGGCCATGTCGAAAGCTACCTCTCGACCACCCAACCGCCTTGCGATACTGAAACTGCCGTGTCCAGTGGCTTGCTTGGATCACCGCTTCTAGGCACCGCCACTCGATGTGCGGCTGATTGGTGTCATGCTTGGAGCATATTGGGACAATGGTCAGGTTTGGTCACTTTTCCTGTGCCTGCAACGGGCCAGTGGCCTCGGCATGGACACTTGCGAGGAATCCTTGACGGCTTCCAGGGCAGACAACCCAATTTTCATAAGTGGGCCCGGCCCGCCTATGAGCAAGGAGCCCTGCCAACACTTAGTCTCCTCCCGGGCGAGGTCGCAATTAAAGTTTTACCAGGAGACAAGATTTATCAGGCCATGGAAATTGAACCGGACTTCATGAGGCCTGCCATACTGCATGGTTTTGGAACAAGGGCCAAGCAACGGCTACCATCACGACTTGAGGAATTGGCGCATTTTGGCTGGGTCCCACTAGCAGCAGCCCTGTTTGGGACAGCAGAGTGGCAGCAACAGTGGCTTCACCACAACTTTCTTCCAGTCATAGGCCTGCGTGTCCATGCGAAGTTCCCTCCGTCCCCGCTTTCGTATCAGCAACAGGTAGCGCTGCTTGGATTGTGGGAACGAAGACCTGCAAGTGGAACTCCGTGCCGGGCCCTCGCCCAAGCTGCTGAACTCGTATTTGGTCTCCCAACTGTTTTTCGCGCACCAGAGGAGTGGACAGCGGAAGTGAAAGGAGAAGTTTTCGATCTCGTGCAGTGTTCCCAGCGGATCTATACGGGCGATGCAGCCAACACTTCGCAAGCCCCGCAAGACTTGTTTGACCGACCGAAAAAATGGGCACAATGGGTTCTTTCGATGAATAGTTTGTGGCAAGAGGACTCTCCCATGCCGGATCGACCCCTCACAGTGCACTGCAGTGGGTTGGGCGGCGGATTGTTAAGTCCAGACCATGAGTATGACATCTTCTTTCAGAACCATGCGCAAATGAAAGTGTATGGCCCCTCGCTGGCGATGACAGATGATTGGGAGCAGCGCATCACTCAACTCGGGCTGACCAAAACTACGCATGGGTAGGGGGATGGGGTCCCCAATACCATGTGCGTAACAGGGGGAGGTGGACCCGAGAGGGTCCGGGGGGACGTTAAACTGTTTTATAGCGCAGGGGAGTTGCTGAAGGCCCCCGTCCCTAACGAACCGTGAATTGACACGGTACCTTGGTACCCCCTAGTCGGCGTGTGTTGACATGTTGGGTTGCTCCTCATGTCACACCCTCGTTTGTGTTTGCGCACATCCTTGGGTGATCGTGCGGTATCTCGGGGTTCTCCCGGACCGATCGGTACACACGTGGTACGGGACCGACGGGTCTCACCTTACCTTGTGTCTAGGGTAGCAACACCCAATGATGACACGGGGGAACAGGCAAGGTCGGTGAACCTCTTAGAGACTTGGAGACTTGTCTCGAGGAGGGGTCAACGGGGCAACCCGTTGGCTAACGGTCAATATTCATCGTTGGGTAGCCAAGCTCGCGGTGGACAAGACCGTCGGTTCCTCCCTAACAGTGTTAGGGTCCTGTCGCAAGACAGGTGTATCCCCCTGGGATACATGGGATCGCTAACGACTGGGTCACCGACCGGTTCACTCTCAACCTTCGGGGAGAGTGGGCTCAATGTACAGTCTGGCCACAGTGAGGACCTTGTTTTTCGGCTCTAAGGTCCGAGCTGTGCTCCATAGGGACTGGGGTCACTGAAAAGGTGACTAAGACTTTCCACTCCTTTCTTGGATCGTCTTCTCCGGTAGCCGCTGGAGTCCGGGAACCTATGGGGGCATCATGAGTTGGTCTCTCTTGGATTGAGTGGTGATCATCTTGGGTGAAATGAATGGGTTCCGTCTCCACGTCCATTCGGGGTGTACGGTTTACGCTGTATACTCTTGATGGAAATGAATGGGTTCGGTTCCCACGTCACTCGGTGAGTGGATCCATTCTCCTTGGGTTGACCTGGGACTCGTGGTGTGGAAAGGGTACCGCCCCAGGGTGCGCCTGGTGCTTGCGGGGGGCCATGCTTCTGCGTGGTTTCGCCTTTTTGGCGTGGCCCTGCACCGGGAGCCCAAAGGTACCAAGCGGAGTATGCAATCTACCAGCTTTTCTCCACTGCCCTGGGATGGAGTGCATGGAAGACATTTTTGCCGGATAGATTTGCCAATCGCAAACTTTTGATCACCCGGGCTATACAGCTACTGACTGCGGCGACCATCCGGCCAGCGCATGCACGGCCTCCCCATCCCACATGGGTTACTGCAGTTCGCCAAATTTTCAGGTGCTATCATCCACAAGGCAAGTTGCTGTTATTGCGAGCCTGTTTTCCTCATTTTGTGACAGCATCCATCCCAGACGGAATCAGGGACATCGATGTACTTGGTTTCTCGGCGGGATCGTACACGGGATTGGCAATCCACAAAGTGCTCAATGATTTCGATTGCTTCCCAGGTACCACGAAGGTAGCAGCAATTGCCTCTCCGCCTGAAATGCTGAGGCTAACAACAGGGGAACGAAGAGTTGTGCTTCTGCATTGTCTTGAGGACCGACTCTGCGTGTGGCATCCGGACACTCTCACAGACTTTAGCTATAATGTCGTCCTCATCGACGGGCAGCCATCCTGGAGTGGCCGAGCACGACATGCATATGGCCACCTGTTGTTTACACCAATAGATGAAGACGAGTTCACTCGAAGAGTGATATCACATTATAGTTAAGAAAGGGTAAGGAATGCCAATGACTGGTTTTGAACTTCCGTGCATGGACTTGAACTTCCGTGCATGGACTTGAACTTCCGTGCATGGACATAACAGTGAAAAGATGTTTGTTTATGTACAGTATCTGTGAAGAACTGTGAATACAAACACCACTGGTGACAGTGATGCATTGGTTTGTTTGGGCGTCTGTGTGTAGGTCTGTCATGTTTACAGCTGCGTCCTGTTCACTATCTAATGCTTGTGATGGTTTATGTTAATATGTGGTTTATGCAGTGAATACTCAGGACTAACTTGACAAACAAACACAGACAACAAACCAAACAAACAAAATGAAACAATTTATGTGAAACAAATCCGAATGATGAAAATGTTGTATCGCGAACGCAGTTCTTATCAAAAGGGAGGAGTGGGAGGGTTCGAATTTGAACATCTGATGGATGCGGCGCCGATCTGCACTGGATAAAGGGAAGACTGCTTTTGCTGCCCCACTTGTGTTGGGACAGCGCAACACTGCGAATTTTGTGCACCTGGGATTTTTCATACTGGGTATTTTGACTGGATTTGCCATATTTCTTTCGTGGTTATTTTCCCTGTGAATGCATCAGTGTGGACTGGCGAGATTTCAGAGTGCTCACTTGTCACAGTTTCTGACCAATTTTTGGACGCTGTTGTGCCTTGCAACGTGTGTTATCCACCTGGTGTGGCCATTCAATTTTTCTTTGTGGTGCCCTGGCAGCGAGCCCGACACCACGATGTCACTGCCTTCAGTTGGCTGCAAGCGTACGTGGGATGATGCATCAGGTCAACATGCAGGGTCAGATACAGTGGGTGCTCATTTATTATCATGCCTTCGAACTTCAAAACATGCTTTTTCCAGTAACATGACGATGCCATGGGAGAGACAATTCATAGGCCCAGTTGATGTTGTCAAGAATGTCTTCAAATTACCTGTGCCAGTCAGGGAACTTTCTGAAAACACGTTCAGCAAAGCGCCTGAAGTTGAGGATCTGGAACTACGTGTTGGGTCTTCATTCAGAAAGGCTGGTCTTAAACTGGTGAAAGCTTGTGATGAGAAGTTGTGGAGTGACAGGTTGTCAGCCGAGAGGAAAGCAGCCATACGCAAGTGGACTTCTCTGGTGGCTGCAGATCCAGCGGCATGGGATATAGCTGTGAGGTTTTTCAGCCAGGGTTCAATGACATATGCTACAGGTGGTTTATCTGACAGCATAAAAGATGCTCTTGCGAGTAAAGCCTCATCAACTCTGCATGCGAGAGTGAATCCGCTGTATCGGTTTGCAATTTTCTGCGCTGATCATGGAACCAAGCCTTGGCCTGTTCATGAATCCACAGTGTATGATTTTTTGAAGAGCAATGATTCTTTTGCAGCGACCTTTCCAAAGAGCTTTTTGATTTCATTGACCTTTGCAAAGCACACCTTGGGGCTTCGAGGAGAGGTTGAGTGGGCTGTCACTGGCCGGAGCAAAGGTGTCTCCCATACCTTTTTCTTGAAAAAGCGGAAGCTGGTGCAGCGGCCTCCATTGAGTGTTGCACAGGTTGCGAGGTTGGAGAAAGTGGTCATGGATGAGAACAGAGGTGTGGCTGATAGAATAGCCGCGGGATTCTTTTGCTTCACACTATACAGCCGGGCACGATATTCTGATGCTCTGAGCGTGGTCAAGATCAACGAAGACATTGTGTTGAGAGATGACATGGTTCAGGGTTTTTTGGAAGCAGAAGCATCGCGGTCCAAGACCAGCACAACCTTGGACAAGAAGACCCAGTTCCTGCCGTTGACTGCACCGGTGAAATCGGTTGGCAGTACAGACTGGGTCAGAGTGTGGATGCAGTTGAGAAGGTCCAAACATTTGGAAGCGGCAGAAGGGAAGCCTTTGCTACCAGGGCCTCAGGAAGGTGGGACATGGTCGAGCATCCCACTGTCGGCGAGCAGTGCCGCGCTTTGGCTCAGATCCCTTTTGGACGGAACTGAAGGTCCACCCATAGCTGAGGTGGGCACTCATTCTTTGAAGGCGACGTGCCTCAGTTGGTGCAGCAAGTACGGAATGGAGTTGTCCACGCGGAGAGCGTTGGGCTATCATCATACCGCGGCTGATCGCAGTGTCAACACCTATGCAAGAGATGCCATGGCTGCACCGCTGAGGTGTCTCCAGGAAGTGATCACCAGCATTGTTGAGGGCAAATTCTTTCCAGATAAAATCAGATCTGGCATGTTTGCTGATGATAGTGAACTTCAAGCTGCCCAAGATCGATACTCCGGAGAACCGGTGGAATCCTCGAGCGAATCATCGGGGGACGAGGAGGATCGGGAGTTTGGGCGGGACGAGGAGGCCATAGATAGGATGGCAGGCGAATGGCAAGCGAATAAAACAACCCCGTGGATGACGTTGGCAGCCATCTACTATCGACACAACACCAGCAGGTGTATCCATGTGTTGCAGGATGAAGGTGGAGCTGAATTTTGCTGTGGCCGACGCATATCAATGGCGTATGTCAGACTTGAACGCCGCCCTCAGTTTTTGCATCCAGTGTGCACGACTTGTGAAAGAATCATTGAAAGGCATGCATCATGATGGAATCCCTTGGAGCGCATTAGGCACACCTAGTGCTGGCGATGTGCCGGCTTGCGCAATGGCGCAACGTTTGGGCGAATGAGCCTTAAACATCAGCGTGGTATGAAAAGGAGCAGCAGTGGCTGTTCAACCCGAATGAGGGTCATGACACTGATGTTAATAGCATGTTGAACTTTTCACATGTACATTCATATGACGAGAGCATGTCTTGTCCAAGACGCATGAGTCTTTGAGTGGGATTTCATGAATGCATGTGCATGGTGATGTGCTCAAGCGGAGTGATGACTCCAAACTTGATCGTCGACAGCATGATCATGCGACAGGACTTTGCATGAATATTTTGAATGGACGTTTGAATGTGATTGCAGACACTTTGAGCTGATATGCAACTACACGTAGGACTGACTGCACAGATCCGTTTATGTTTTATAACTGGTTTGTTGTTACATTATGTTCACCAACCATGAAGACGATAGGTCCCCAAAAAGAGTGGTTGGGGACCTATCGTTTTAATCCCCGCGGTGTCTTCCCTGTAGTGGTGACTTTTACCGACATAATTCGGGTTCTAATTTTGATAACAAAAGGGGGAACCCAAATTTAGTGAATTTCAAGAAATCCATTTCTTTCCAATCACCCTCGCCATCGCTGTCATGTCTGTCATGGATTCGGAGGCAGTTTTCAGGAGCAGAGGCAAACTCATAGGTCTCTCCGATGAGGTTCTTGACCTTTTCAGGGACGCTGGAATCAATACCATGGGAAAGCTTGCATTTGCATCATCTTATGTGCCAGGGAGTGCCGATGAGTCTGCCTTTGTTGACTTAGTGAAGCAGGCAATTGGCAGAGACGCAACCTTAGGCGAAATGGCTGGAGTCAGGAGGCGCTTCAACGAGTCGTATGCAGCGACCTCAGCTGAGATGAAATCAATTGTAGAACAGAGCGATGAAACACCTGCCAGACGACTGGCACCTGCAGAACGTTCAGAACGATTTGAATTTCAGCAGCAACGGTTGACAGGAATCAAGATTCAAGGCATGCTGGAGCCTGGAGACAGCCTTGTGGATGCTGCAGTGGCAATATATGAATCTGACAGGATTAAATACATTGAGTGGCAACATTGCGTGTCACGTGAACATGAAGTCCTGACCTCAACGAAAAAAGACACAGCACTGAGTTTTGATGCCAGTGGAGTTTTGAAGTTGAGTAAAAAGGACACGGTGACACCCTGTGATGCAACCTCCGAATTACAGGTGAAATATTGTTTGACGCGGCGAGGTTTAGCACTTGAGCAAGGAAATGTCATGTCCTTCGAGAACCACGAGAAGTGGGCTGAGAAGCTTCTATCTTGCCGACTGTCCGAGCCTCCAGCTGGTTACGCTCGAATCACTTTCAAGCAAATGCAGTTGGCAGATGCAAAGTTGTTCGTTGTATTGGGCGAAAAATGTAGAGGCGGCATCAAAGTAGTTGGAACCGCTGAGAGGCCATGTGACAAAAAAATTGATGAAGCCATGAACTCCCATGAAGTTCAGCATCTTTTGCAACCCATGCCAATGGCTCAGAAATCGAAGCAGGATGGCGACTCCCTTGGCCAGGCACCTTCAGTCCGACAGACCATACAGAAAAAGGGTGGCGGAAAAGGCGGAGGTAAGAAAGGCAAAACTGGAAGGGTTTGGAAGCCATCAATTCCTCAAGAGCTTCTGAATATGGACTGCGTTGGCCTCACATCACGTGGAAACCCATTGTGCTATGATTACCAACTTGGAAAGTGCACATTGACAGTCCAGAACCAAAAATGCAGCAAGGGGTTGCATTTGTGCGCGATGCCATCTTGCCACAAGGACCACCCAGCCAAGGATTGCAGGTCCAAGAAGCATGAGTGACTAGATGGTCAAACAGAGGACATGCATGATGCACACAGCACTGACAGTGTGAAACGTGGTCGGTGTGATGTTGCAAACAATTCAACAATTTTTGCAGAGCTTGGCATCCCGAACATCGGGGACGAAGTGATTTTTGTGGAGCTTTGTGCAGGTAGTGGGATCCTCAGCAAGACTGCCGAAGAGCATGCATTCTTTGCAATTCCCATTGATCACGATGGAAATAGACATCGTGCTTTCACAAAAGTTTATTCAATTGAGTTGGCAGATGACAAGGCATGGACATTTTTGGATTACTTGCAAAAGACAGCTCGTGTTGTTGCATGGCACATGGGTTTACCTTGCGGTACTTGCAGCAGGGCCAGGGAGATACCCATAAGCAACACTGACCCTGGACCTCCACCGTTACGGAACGCTGCACATCCGCTGGGGGTCCCCTGGAATTCCGAGCGTGATGCACAACGAGTGAGACAAGCCAACGAGTTGTATCAAAGAGCTTGTGCATTTGCATTGCAACTTGTTTTCCTGAAGCATGTGATAACAATAGAAAACCCAACCGACAGTTGGCTATGGGAACTGCCCTTTGTGATTGCACTTTACAGTTACTGTTTTTTCGTTGACTTGCATGCATGTATGTTTGGTGGATTGAGACGGGAGAGGACATCCTTTTTGACAAATGAAAGCAAATTTCAGGCGCTGCAAATTTTTTGTGATGGGTCGCATGAGCATGCGGCATGGGGCATCGATGAGTTTGGAAACTTCAACACTGCGCATGAAGCCCAGTACCCCAAGAGACTGTGCCATGAATACTGCAAAGTTTTGGGCAGCCTGAGAGACACTCAGGTTGCGTCGGACACAGTTGCCATAGAACAACATGACACAGACATGTCTGCACCTTCATCGCATCGAGCGTTCATGCAACCTCGTGGACGCAAAGTACAACAATTAGTTCCTGAATTTCAGAAAGTTTTCTCTATGGTGCTAGAGCAGATTCCCAGCGTTGATGGGAAGAAACGGCTACAAGCCGCTCTGGGAGACATTCCTGCTGGAGCCAAACTTCGTAGAACTGAAGCGAAACAGGGAGCCTTTTTGTGCGTTTTTGGAGTGTACCACACAGTTCAACAGTTTGTTTGGGAGTGTCGACAGTTACAACATCCTTTTGATGAGTTCATGAACTTGCCTGACATCCTTCTGGAATGTATATACAAGGTTCTCGTCATGGGCCCAATTGATGTTGCCAAATTCCGATTGGGAAAAATTCAGAAATGGCGACAGGTACGTGATGAACTGGGCAAAACTGAGGCTGCACTGCATGAGGCCATCCCAGACTACATGAGGACTCTGGTACAAGACAAACAGTTTTTGCTTTTGGAATATTTGGCAAAAAGCATTGGGTGGGGTGACGAGAGTTTGCACGATGAGTTGAGAGAAGGTTTCAAGTTGGTTGGTGAAGGAACCCCGTCCAATGTCTTCAAAAAGGACGTTAGACGAGCAACCATGGATGAGAAAACGCTGATGGATCAGGCAAAGTTCATTAGACCCATGATTTTGGGAAAAGTGAAAAATGCTGAAAAACCGGAATACTGCCAAGAACTCAATGAGATCACAAGGGCCGAAGCTGGTGACAAAGGATGGCTCGAAGGGCCCTTCGATGAGGACAATGTGAACACCATGCTTGGCGGTAACTGGTTGCCGGTTGAACGATTTGCAGTAAGACAGAAAGACAAGTTGCGGCCAATCGACAATTTCGCAACTAACAGAGTGAATGAAGCTTGGACGTGCCCTGAAAAGTTGGATCTGCATTCACTCGATCAGCTTGCGTGGACAATCAGTGCCTTTTACAAATTTTTTGGCAAGCGTGGGAGCGTTGACATTACATTGAAGGATGGACGCAAACTGCAGGGCAAGGTCCATGAAGATTGGTTCAAATGTGATGCCAATTGTTTGATCACCACCCTTGACTTGAAGGATGCATACAAACAGCTTGGCATCCATGAATCTGACCGCAATAAGGCAGTGGTGACATTGAGAAGCGACAGGCACAATGGAGTGGACTGCTACACGATGAACTGTCTTCCATTTGGAGCTTCATCATCTGTGCACAATTTTAATCGTGTGGCAAGAGTCCTATGGGCCATTGGAGTTGCTGAGCTCATGATACCTTGGGTTAACTATTTTGACGATTATCCTATGGTCTCCCCTGGTGCTATCGCTACCTCAACTTTGAGTGCTGCGAAGGGCATGCTACATCTTCTTGGTTTCAAATATGCCGCACATAAACTTGAACAGCCGAAGAGCAAATCTGAAGTGTTGGGAGTAGTCGTGGAATGCGAAGACGTTTTGGGCACTGGAGTGTTGCGTTTTTCTATGAAAGAGAGCAGGCGTCACGAGATATTGGAATGTTTGGAAACTATTCTTCATGAAAAGGAACTGGTGCCTTTTAACTTACCTTCGGTGCTGGGGCGCGTACAGTTTGCAGATGGGCAACTTGCTGGAAGGACGGGTCGATTGGCCATGGCCGACGTCCGAGAAATAGGCCTGACGTCAAAGTCCAAGGTTACGTTGGATGATGGCACCCTTGAACCTTTTGCAATGCTCAAACGAAGATTTGAACAAAATGCACCCAAGTGCGTCAGATTGAAAGGTGACCCTACGCCCGTCTTGCTGTTCACTGACGGTTCGTTCGAGCCGAGTGCAGACGGAGACAAAGCTATGATTGGGGGTGTTCTGATCATCAATGATCTTCCATGCAGAGTTTTTGGTAACCACGTGCCAAGCGAGCTGCTGAAGCGGTGGCACGATGCGGGCAAGGAACATTTGATTGGGCAGATTGAGATGTATGCCATCGTAGTTGCACGATTTCTTTGGAAACACTTGCTACAAGACCGAAGGGTCATCCTTTTTGTTGACAATTGGGGCGTTCTTGACTGTTACATTCCCGGTACGTCGAAGGAGAAGACATGGAGGGAATTGCTGCTGTGTATCGAAGAGATTGATGCCAAGCACCCCAGCCACATTTGGGCGACGAGAGTGCCTTCAGAATCCAACGTTGCCGATCCACCCAGCAGGGGCCTTCTTTCACCGATTCAATTCCTTGGGAAGCTGGTAGTGGACGAACCTTTTTGTCCAATTGTCAATGTTCACTTGAAAAGCTGTTTGGCTGAAGCGGACAAGGGTTTGGCTGCATGAGCCTTCTTTTCAAAACCATCGTATGTGATGGAACCAACATCAGATGTGATGTCATGAAATAACGAGATGTCGTAACATCCAAAGATTGGATGTCGAATAAGCCCTTGTTCGCCAAAGAGACAAAACAAAGCGCGAGAGTTGTTCATTTTTCAGTCATTCAGCAGATTCACATGACGGTGCATGTTGAGTTTTTGAATTGATTTGATGTTTGTTTTCGTGGCGAGTGATCCGACGACGTAACCCGATTAGGCGCGCGGATATATATACATTTATATATGTGTTACAATATGTTCGTTTGAGTTGGGTTGCTCTGCTGTTGGCATAGCTTACCAAAACCGGTTTGATTTTTGAGAAGTTATCTCAATGACAATGAAGTTCAAAACCCCTTTCAATACTATAAGACGAGTTCACTCGAAGAGTGATATCACATTATAGTTAAGAAAGGGTAAGGAATGCCAATGACTGGTTTTGAACTTCCGTGCATGGACTTGAACTTCCGTGCATGGACTTGAACTTCCGTGCATGGACATAACAGTGAAAAGATGTTTGTTTATGTACAGTATCTGTGAAGAACTGTGAATACAAACACCACTGGTGACAGTGATGCATTGGTTTGTTTGGGCGTCTGTGTGTAGGTCTGTCATGTTTACAGCTGTGTCCTGTTCACTATCTAATGCTTGTGATGGTTTATGTTAATATGTGGTTTATGCAGTGAATACTCAGGACTAACTTGACAAACAAACACAGACAACAAACCAAACAAACAAAATGAAACAATTTATGTGAAACAAATCCGAATGATGAAAATGTTGTATCGCGAACGCAGTTCTTATCAAAAGGGAGGAGTGGGAGGGTTCGAATTTGAACATCTCCCGCCCTTTGTATCGCTACGCTATACCCGCCCTAGGGTTTGGCTGCGTGAGCCTTCTTTTCAAAACCATCGTATGTGATGGAAGCAACATCAGATGTGATGTCATGAAATAACGAGATGTCGTAACATCCAAAGATTGGATGTCGAATAAGCCCTTGTTCGCCACAAAGAGACAAAACAAAGCGCGAGAGTTGTTCATTTTTCAGTCATTCAGCAGATTCACATGACGGTGCATGTTGAGTTTTTGAATTGATTTGATGTTTGTTTTCGTGGCGAGTGATGAATCCTCCGTGGTTTCTCTCTGCGCATATTGATCTTCCTGCTAGATATGGTGTTGCCTCAATTGGATGCTTACCATGCAGGTCGGCAGCTACAGCACCTGCAACCCTGGACCAGCGTTGTGTTGGCGCAACGACAAGAGCGAGGTCAACCGGGAGTGGAGCTGGTAGTCCGATATGGATATGAGGCCTTTGCTGGTTTTCATGTGGTGCATCTGCTCACTGAGGGTATTCCTCTTTTGCTCTTTAGGACCCAAAGGCGGTTCCTTCCGTGTCGCCATGGAATCTATGTGAAAATGGCAACTTAGGAAGCATGGAAGCCAATGTGATGGCAGGTAGGGCCCTGTTTGGGCGGTTTCAGCTCCCTGCGGGCTCGCGTCGCTGTGCCATTTTCTTGGTTCAAGAAAAAGTGATGCAAGGTACCAGTCGATCCGCGGATTCCCGTGCATACCGTCGAATTGCCCCAAAGTCACTTGAGCTAGTCCTGGTCTCTAGGCCTGTTGCATTTGCCTTTTGTGGCCGCCTCCTAGTGCAACAGCCAGCAGAGGTGGAATACTTTGACCCAGTGCGAGACTGGCCGCAACCTATTGTTTTCCATGCAAGCTTTGCTGTGTTGATGGAAGAAATGGCATTCCTTGGTGACATGCGAAGTCGATGCGAATTGCTGGTTTTTGCACAGGCCAATCCGGCACGACTCCCATTGACAATGGGTATTCTCTAGCCCAATATCCCAGTGAGAAGAATGATGATTGAACGCAGGACGAAGCTGACAGATGCATTGGTTCGAGTGCTTTGTCGACTACTGACACCCATTGGAGTTGCTCTCCCAGGTCCGCATGACGAGTATATGCGTGACAACCTACTCTCTTTGGCAGGGCATGGGGATGGGCATGTCCTTACTGTGGCAGTAGCATTGCTCCTGGCGATCCTCACTGGCCGTTCTGACCTTTGTATTGCCGGCGTTTTCGGTGCCGGAAAGACGCGCTCCCTGGCGGTCTTATTAATTGCCCTCAGCTGCTAACTGAGTGATTTTTATGCGATCGTTTACACCAAGGAAAACGTTGCTGCAAAAGCCCTTGCGGATCAAATCAGCGACCTTGCCCCACCAACGCAAACTGCCTTTGGAAGGCTACTGGGTCGCATCGAGGAAGGCAAGGGCGAAGCTTATGCAACCAAAATTGATGTTCGATGCAGCGATCGCAATAGAGTTATTGCTGAGAAACGCATTTTGATTGCGACTGGAGGCTCCGCTACGGCGGAAATGGCCATGAAATACTCATCATTTAGCATCTGGCTCTCCAAGGTGTGGCTGGCATTTATGGATGAAAGCCAGCAGTACGGCAACTACCATGAAATTGCCGCACTTGCTGCAATCCAGCAACCGGCACTGATTGTTTTTGTTGGTGACCACAGGCAGACACCTGGAGGCCTATCCAAGGGAAGGGCTGCAGCAGCTAATAGGCAGAAACTTCTTCACCGTCCCTTGGGGCTACGAGCCTTGAATCGTCCTGGCGATTATTTGCCCCCTGCCCGGCTCACCAAGTTAATTGCACTCCTCTGGCCGGATGCGAGCCAGGATCATGACTCTGAAGTGGCTCGACTACTCAACCTTGGCCAAGCACCACACACAGGAATTTGGACTACTGAAGCAACTGCACACCATCTGCCCACGTCACTGGCGCGCCTCTTCAGGGAAGAAACGCTCAGCCACCTGAATGTTCAGAGCTGCCTGATCTCTGCAATACTAGCTGTCTTGCTTATTGCTACTGCGCCAGAGGAATTCGGTATTCCTGAGTGTACAACTACGGTGGAAGCAGCTGGCCTAGATGGTCCGCATCGATGGGGCATCATCCTGCCCAACAGCTCCAGAGTGTCTCTGATGACGTACAAAGCCATCGTTGCAGTTAGATACCCGGAATTGGTGCTACATGATCAGGATCCCATCCAGATAGGCCATTTTGTCCCCCACGATCACACTGTTGGGCATGGCGGCTTCCGTACAGTACTATGGGAAGTACCCAGAGATTCCAGAGACCTCCTGGCTGCTATTGAGGATATTGTGGTATTTCTCAGCTACCTCCAAAAGTGCTATCGGGACCTCAATCAAGGCGCGACGGCGCAGCTCCTGGTAATGTGCAATCGCACTGCAGTACACACACAACTACTGCAGCATGGTTTTCAGGCAGCATGGTTTGGCGGCCTACGAATCGCCACAACTTCGTCAGCAGCAGGGGCCACCGCGCGAATAGCAGTTGTTGTCCAGACAGGGTGTGGTTTCCTCAGCGGGGGCCGTAGAGGGGCAACACTAGAAGACAAAGAAGACTGCTTTGGGCGAGCCACTGTCGCGCTCACCAGGGCCATTCAACACACATACATTGTATCCCCCATTGATATGGCTGGGCTGATTGGGATGGCTCAGACGCTTGCGGTCTATCACTATGGGTGCTATACCCTTAAAGATCGACTTGTCCAGTTTCATGAGCCCAAGCACGTGCCATCGGACGCAGAAGCGGTCCTTGAGTGGGGACTCAATACACCGTTTAATTCCCAAGACAAACCGCCCCTTGCCATTGCTATGGTAGTGACAGTGAATGGCGTGCGATCCCTGAAAAGATATCGATTGGTCATTGCACAGAAATCAAAGCTGAGGCTTACGCCGGAAGTCATTGCAGCGCTTGCCTCCCACAGTCGTGACCACCGCCTCACGGCGAGCAGCTTTTTTCCGTGCTCTATAGATAGGGAATACCTGTATGGCTATGCCGGCGATGGCTATCGCTCGCCACTTTGGTTGTGTGCTTCCCACAATGGCTCCCCAGTTCTTGTCCACAGACTCAGAGGAAGCAAGATGTATTTTCATCAAGCCACCAAAGACCGGCGAATATTACTCATCCCAGGTATCCACTATTTTGATGCTCATCGACTGCAACCACTGCTCTTGCAAGCTCCCGCACTGCAAGTGCATATGAGAGAAAGCCCTCTGGTAGGCCCTGAAGGGGCTGGCGAGACAGTGGATGATCCCTCGTCGGAAGAAGAGCAAGACACCACTGAAAGTGAAACTGAGGGAGAGAAAGAAGACGCCGACGAGGATACACCTCTGGAGGAACCATGGTGCCCGCCAATCCCACCAGCAGTGGATGATCCTACGGAAATGGAAATCAAAGGTGCTGCGGACAAGTTGGCCACTATGATGAACAGTTCACAGCCTCAAGCCAATGTTTTCTATCAGCCCGACAACCTAGGTGCTCTTCCACACCTGTGGCTGCAAGCCAAGCTCACTATCTCCCTGACGTCGATGCAGGAAAAATTTGCTCGCCTTTTCTTGTCTATTGCGTCAGAGCTGTGGCTTAGGGGTGCGATTGATACTGTTGAAGAGGTATTTGCACATGCTGCCCGTAGTTTCACACTCCGGCTGGCTGAAGCACTTTCGCAGTACATATGCTCGCTGACTCGCCGAGCAGAGTCCCTGGCTACCCCAGAGACGGAATGCCTGCTGTATGCCACTTATTGGTTTCGTCCAATTCTCTCTGAGCTCATTGGGGCAGCCAAAGAGAGTGCAGAAGTGAACCGAAAACGTGCACCCAGTGGCCCTGCGAAAGTTGTCGTCACAAACCAGCCCCATACTCGGCGCCATACCGGAGTCGACCTGGTTAGTGGGACTTCGGCCTTACTGGCGTGGTTTCCGGCGAGCTGGGCCAGCAAAATTGCGCCGTGTTTCTTAGGGGAAGCGGGCGGCGCCACCCAAGCCCCACAGGAAGTTTCCTTCTCCTGTCCCCATCGAGTATTTGAAGGGTTGCAGAGAGAGGCGGCTGATCAAGTGCTGCAGGCAGTTAAATTTACTGACAAAAACGCTC